TCCATTCACCATGACCAAGTGTGTTACTGGTAAAGTATGGCTTTATTGTATGACCAGGCAACTATAGCAGTGTAACCAATCAGTCAAAAAAGTCCATTCCATTCACCATATCCAAGGGTGTTACTGGTAAAGTATGGCTTTATTGTATGACCAGGCAACCATAGCAATGTAACCAATCAGTCAAAAAAGTCCATTCCACTTACCATGACCAAGCCATGCATTAAAATTCATTTTCGTTTAACTATTAAAAGAATATCACATTCAGAGACTACTGTTTCTTCAGGTTTTGTTTTTCATCAAAATGATGAACTAAGCATCATTTTATTTCAGGGTGAAGATTGAAAAGGATATTTCTGAAACTTTAATAACCTTCTGGTCATTATTTTTGCTTATTATTAGCTCGACGAAACAATTACGCCATCACGCTACTGTTGCTATAGTTGTTTTTATTATTGAGCTTAAGACCGCGCTGAACTATTGAGGATACTCGTARCGTGCTACATTGTCGCGAGAGGTGGCTTTACTGAGAAATATAAAATACAACCATTGGGCGGCAATGTTTCCAATCTTTGGTGTTTGTTATATTAGTGTTAATGAAATTGGTAACCATCTCTAGCAAAAAAATGAACGTTGAACTCTAGTTCAACATGTTTCAGCCACTTGTAGCAGCAAAAGATCTTGTTGCGCCACGTACAACAAGAGATGTATACCAATAGATGTAAGTTTTTTCTTCAAAGCTTGAACATTTATTGTATTGTTCCTGATAGCTAACCGAAGCTGCCATCTTATGGCAGTGCACGTACACTCTGATGGGTTCATTTATTGTTCATTTTTTCCATTGTCCCCAGTCCTCAAGAGAATGAAAACCTCACAGAACTCAAAAACGATTAAGTTGAGATGAGACCTCGACCCCTATGCTTTTTTGCATTTTCTGGTGCATTTTTGTATAATCTTAATTCCATTAAGGACGGAGAACAATTCAAATAAGTTGTGATCACGCAGAAGCCTTGATTTGAACCTGAAGCAAACAAAGATCAATTTATATGACAAAAATGCATCTTTGATAGCGTCTAACGATCACTATTGACGTAAAGGTAAAGACACGGTGCATTCAGCATGTCATATTCRCAGAAAAATATATCTATACACGCGWACTKAAGCGGAAAAGATTACGTATACGGTTACGTACGATATGCTGCGACGAGTTTCCTGATAATGAGAAAAGAGAATAAAACATCTAAAGAACACCATATTCACCCCAGAACATTATATTCATGTACTGGAACGTGTAGGGCATGAATTGAACACGTAATAGTATTTCACGTCATGCTGGTTGTATATGATTTGCGCACGTATCACTAAGTACATTAATTGAGTATTCAGTATTTGCGCAACTTAATAAAAATACAAACCGCAAATATTTGGGGTTTGATTTTAAGGAGCTTTGTTTTGTACTTAGTAGAATCAGGTAGATACCACATGTTAAGGCAAACAAATTYTCTCCTAAACGGCCAGCAAAGACAATGCTATATTGACTGTTAATAAGTATTGTAAGCCGGTACTTATCGTAAGGTAGCCGCAAAAGCTGTTAACATTATATGAAGTCAATCATTACATTCAGAGAACATTGTTCGTGAGAGGGTAAGCCCTCACTCACACGCAATGGCTCGATGAGCYTCACTTCATACACCGAATACAGTTATATGAGATCTCAAACGTGAATAACAGACTTTGACGTTGTCAGATCGCTATAAAGTTCTACAAACTGTTTATCCATAGAACTTACAAGTAAACGAAGATCGTTTGCAACTTGGGAAAATGTTGTCGCTAGTTCAAAGCTTTCAAAGCGGTCATCATCAAAGTGAAGACCGAAAMGGATCATGGGACGGTAMGAAATTAGTATGATAATGTTATGCGCATGGATGTGAATATKCAGTGGATAATCATATCTTCCTCTAAGTGAAATATTAACAATGTTAGTCTTTATTGGGTAAATATGATTCAAAGTTTTGAGTACCCAAAGTCCTCTACGGTCTTCCTCTATGATGCGACCTTTTGGAGCCCTACAACGCTTTTAAATTAAGCGCATAGAGGTTTATGCATAATTTCAAATCTGAGAGTGGATGATCTGAACCCAGGTGTAAGCGATGTGACAAGAAGTCTTGAGGTTCCTGCGTTTAGTCATCTTCAGTGACTTCAGTGAGTCAGTGACTTCAGTCATCTTGTGCGTTTAGTCATCTTCAATGACTTCCACGCAGGATGTCGAAACGTCAGGTAACCATGACAGTCTTCCTTCACACCCGGCCGATCATATCACATCCACAATTTCAATACTATTGGATAGGTTCAGACACATCATGGACCGATTCACAAGGGCGAATAGATAAAGTCAYACACCTTTAACAGCTTTCTTAATCCGAACAGGCCTTAGCGCACATCTTCAAACCGACCGGACAATACCAATAACAAACAGCGCCGACCAGTTTAGATTTGACAGCAAGTACGAGATTTAGTACGAGTATGAGTTTTAAATATGGMTTTCTTGTGTTAATGATACTGGATTTCAGTCCATTTCTTGCTCTATTTCTTTGAAGTTTCAATATATTGACAGGAATGCAATTTATGATCAATAACACACACAAGACCAGTTTTAAAACTCGTGATCGTTGTCACATCTTAAGTTCTCTAACTATGCAATGCGCACATATAAAAGACTATGGTTGTCTATCAGACAATCCTCCCAGATTTTGATCTGTTTTCAATTGGAAAYCAGAGGACCTTAATATACCTTTAGCTTTCGACCGGTCGGTATAGATAGCCTTCATTTCGACCGGTCGAAACATGGTCCTTTCCAAATGAAAACAGAGAAATCTACGGGGATGCCAATAAACGAAATAAAACATCAAAATATATTTTATCAATGAAGTTAATAAATCTGAGGTCAGCCCTTAGCACAATCAATATCAAACGTTATTTTTATTCACTACGATATCAGCGCCGTAATTATACAGAGAAACTAAATGGCGACGCGATTTCGTGGAATAACTGGTGATTAATATTGCTACTCATAAAAATGGTCACTATTTTCCTATATTTGTGTCTATGAAGACCATGTGAGTGCACTTTCATAATATGAAATTTATTGATCGCAGAAATAATGTGTGTCGCGTAAGTCATAACATTCAGATTCGTCTGTTGAACGATGAATGAGACAGAGTGGAACCACCCAAAGCCGAGCGACGAGGCATAAAACCAAAAAATACAAGCTAATAGAAATAATCACCCAAAAGATATATCCACGCGTCCTTCAGTTGTATTTGTTGATTCGGTTTTATGCACAGTTTCTCTCAAGATTCGAGTGAATGAACTAGAGACTTCAGTAGCTATGGCGTTGAAGGTACTCAACCAAAACTATCAACACTACTCATCGAGACAAGCAGCCAACTGTCCTTTTCATCGTATCAAGCGGGTTATTACTTTATGTCAACGGGTACGAAGGCTTTATTAAACAATTCCTAGACTTATTATAATTGTCGGAGCCTTAGTGACTAATTGCCAAAAGTAGGTTCATAAAAGCACGCCCTTATTAAGGATGGTTGTTGACTAA